CTGTAGGGAGACAATGAAGAATTGTTAAACACATAAATACGTGACTTAAAAGAGTTAAGACAAAGATTCTAGAACCAAGAAGTGGGAGGATTTGCCAAAGGTCAGATGGCAGAATAACAACAGCAGAAACTAGAAACCCTAAAGCTGGAGAAATTCTTCTAAGCCACACTATGTTTTCTTAATTAATTCTTACGGGAAAATGTGAAGTGAGCTTTAACTCTAGGCTGTTTCTGTTCAGGACAGGTTTTATTTTATTATATACTTTGATTTTTTTTATTTTGACCATCTCCATCAGGTTGGAAAACCTCTGCCTGTAGACCAGAGTTTGAGAGAAGCCCGTATGTGCCAAGAAATGTTGACTGCCCCAGACACTTTGTGCCTGGTCACGGGAGTAATTAGGGGCTAGAGTCCCAGAGGGGCAAAGGAGAGCAGTGGGTTAACATTCTGGAGAACACCTTCACATAGGTCTCCGGAAGTATGTTACAGGAAGATCTAGGATGTTGTAAACATTGGGGAGGGGCACTCGGGACTCTGCCTATCTTTCCTGGAGTCATCAGCCATGACATGTGTGTGCAGACACACACAGGTACAAACAGGCACACACCCCTTCCAGCGCATACCTGCATGATCACCTCATACTTGTGACCCACTCAGGCACACTGTCGACATGTTTTCCACACATCCCCACACAATCTGAATACACACAAACACACATTCCCCACCCTGAGTGAAATATATCCACTGCACGCTCACCAGAGCAAGAGCAGATGCAATGCCTTGGGTTCACATACCTTACACACCCCTGCAGACACACCCGCACTACACACAACATGCAGCTTCCACTACACACCCATACAACTCATGCTCTTAACCACGGAAATATACCACACACCTGTATCAAAACCTTCCCACATACGAAATTTACACACCTCACGCTCACCTACCTATCCAAGTCACATCAGCGTTCATTCTGCTACCACCTCATTGCAGCAAAACGCAGCCCACATTCTGTATATCTACATTCATATCCTTATCCCTGTCTATATCTATCCATGTGCTTGCGTACACACACACACACACACAGATATGCCATGCCTATGCCCTGCATACATATACCCTCTATTTCCTAGGGATCATAATTCAACAGTGAAGAAATTTCCTGGGGTCAAGCACAATTCTTGCCTACAGTCACTAAAAATATATTATTTAAAGCTTAAAAATGTTATGGGGAAATAAAATTCTATTTGCCTATTTTTAGCTCCCTTAAGGTTAAATGTGGCCTTATTCCATGTTCAAGCAGCCTTTGGGATTATGTAACTTCAACAGCTCTGACCTCTGACGTCAGTACCTGCTCTACTGTTGGTGACGGGCATGCAAGGCCCTTTCATCCACCACCAGCGGCAGCAGGTGTTCTAGGCAAAGGAATATTTACTGATCTGGTGAAGGGGTGGAATATCTGGGGGGACGTGATGCTCTCAGCCAGTTAGACGAGCTTCCTGCCACAGCGAGCCCTGCTTGATAAGGCTGAGGCTGAGACCAGCATATGAAAGGTGGTCTATTCTTGGAACACACCCCTTCCCAAGCTCTCTTGCCGGGCGACAAATGTCTGGAAAAGCGGGGACTCAGCTGACCAGGCTCAAACCCTGGGCCTGACTGTTGGCGCACAGCTGGGAATAGAGATGAGAGGGCCTATGTGAAGAGACTGTAGTTCAGTGCCTTGGGTTTTGCCTCTCATGCTCACCGGGCACAGGGTCACAGGGGGGTTCCAGAAACCACCTACTGGTAAGGATGGAGTGGCCACTGTATCACCAGGTGGGGGATGGTAGACCATAGTATAAACACATGGTGCCTGGAGTTGGGTAGCCTTGGGTCAAATTCCATCTCCCTTGTCTATTAGCTCCTTGACCCTGGGCAAGCCTCACTTTTCCCACCTCTAAAATGGGGATTGTTTTGATGTCCAAGAGTAAAGTGCACTTTACTCTTCACCCATATTGACCTTTCAGTAGTTTCCCCAACATATTGGCTTGTACCTCTGTGTCTTTTCTCATACTGTCTTATCTCCATGTGCTGCCATCCTCTCCTTTGTTGGCTGGGCAACAAGGTGGGCTCAAATGTCACTTGTCCTGGATAGCCTCCCGGATACCCCAAGGCAGACTTAGGCATACTTAGGCTTCTTCTGTTCTCTCACTCCTCTTTACGCATGGTGACCCCCTTCCCCCTCACCCCATCCTTCACTATTTGTGGCAGACCTGGCCCTCTTTGGCAGCAGCAAGAGACAGGGAGAGTAGTTATGAACGAGGGCCCACCACAGTCTCCAGGATAATGAGATCAGTCTACTAGCCTTGATACCCAACCTGTGTTCTGGGGCCATCCTCACTGCCTGGGAGCTTGTTTGAGATGCAGAATTTCAAACCTACATTATCTAATGATAATGTAAAAAGAATGACACGAGGAGGAATTTCCACGAGGAGGAATTTCCACGAGTGGAACAACCAGCAGTGGTACCCAGTCTCTTTCATTTTTCCATGGATTGTATTCTCCCTCCATCTGGCTGAACAGCAGAGAATTCAGCTTCCTCTTATGATCACAAGAATATAAATGCTCTGTAGCTGTATCCTCTTCGTATATCGCATCCACCAAGACGTGTTCCCTCCTTCTCCTCAATCAGTATCTGTCTCTACTGCTCTTATGGAAAGAATATTTCTAGATTTACATGACTGCATAATTAAACCTTTACAAATCTTGAACTAAATATGTTTCGTATGCTTATTATTTAGCCAAATGCACTTTCTGTCATTCAGAAAAAAACCAGATTTCCCTGCTGATCATTCTACATCAGCACATGCCTCCTTCATAACTTTATCTCTAGACTCTAATCTCCACGAGAACAGAATGATGGATTAGCTGGCGCCTAGTAAGCATGCTCGGGGAATTTTTCTTAGATGAATAGGACTAAATAGCTCGCTTGGGTCCAGGGAGTCTGACTTCTTTACCTCCACATCCCCAAGGTTCCCAGCACAGAGTAGGTATTATAATTTATGTCAAACGAATGAATGGACAGGAGCAGCAGTCGGTTCTGCAAGGCTTTGCCTGGAGGAATCAGTATGGCTGCATAGATTAAATTATGGGAAGAAAAGATCAGGGAAGAAGACAAAGCAGAAACCTTATTTCACGCGTATTATCATACTGCTTTTATCATTCAATGTAAATAAATAAAAGGGGATGGTTCCAACAACGGAACTGTGAAAAGACCCAGAGATGCATATAACAGGTCTGCCACTGCCTAGAAATAAATTCATGTGGCCGAGCTATTTATTTCAGCCTCAACTTTTTTTTTTTTCAAAATAAGTCTGTTGTTCTCAGTGCAAGTCAGGAGAGTTTGTCTGTGTGGCTGCTTTAGGTTCTGTGGGTTTCTCTGCTTATCTCTGTGTGTCTCTCTTTGAGTCTGAATATCTCAGGGCTTATGGGTTGCAAGCAACAGAAACTATGTCTGGATGATTTAAGCCAATAAATGATCTACTGGAAGAAATATGGGACAGCTCACAGAATCAGAGGAACTACTAGAGAACGTCACTTTAAGAAGGAAAGAGACCAGGGGAGTTTCAGAGAACTGGGACTAATGTGCTCTTTTCAGGATGCTCTGTGATGGAGATAATTTTCCATTATTGGGTCATTCAACTTAGGATTCAAATCCCAGGGATAGGAAGTCTGATTGGCCTACTTTGGGTCACATGTTTAGTCCTTGAACAGGATAGGATACAACATCCAGTTTGAAGGATTGATCAGAACTGAATCAGAAGAGGAATAGATAATATGGTAGGCAGAACAATGGTCCCCCTAAGATGTCTACATGCTAATCCTAGAAACAGTGAATACGTTATGGAACATGGCAAGGGGGAATTAAGGCTGAAGATGGAATTAAGGTTGCTAATCAATTGACTGTAAGATAAGGAGATTACAATGTGTTCTCCACTGTAATCACTTTAAAGGTAGACAAGTTAGTCAGAGGAGTCAGAGTGATGCATTATGAGAAACACTCAACCAGCCAATGCTGACTTTAAAGGTGGAAGAGGGCCATGAGGCAAACAATGAGGGGATTCTCTAGAGGCTGAAAAAGGTTAAAAAAATGATTCTCACCAAGTGTCTCCAGGAAGCAGTGAGGCTCTGCTGACACCTTGATTTTTAGCTGTGTGAAGCCCATTTAAACTTCTGACCTCCAGAAAAATAAGATTTGTCTTGTTTCAAGCCATTAAGTGTGTGGTAGTTGATCATAGCAGCATGGGAAATAGATATGGAAAAGCAGCACATGCCTACAACAGGGTGGGACTGTACATGTTTGTTTCCATGGGCTTCTAATGGAAAACTTTGTGGTGCAATCCACTCAGAAATGGAGAATCAGTTATATACAATGGAATATTACTCAGCCATAAAAAGGAAGGAAATGATGCCATTCGCAGCAACATGGATGGACCTAGAGATTATCATACTAAGTGAAGTAAGTCAGACAGAGAAAGACAAATTATCATATGATAACACTTCTATGTGAAATCCAAAATAAATGATACAAATGAACTTATTTACAAAACAGAACTAGACCCACAGGCATAGAAAACAAACTTAAGGTAACCAAAGGGGAAAGGGGAAGGAAGGGGTAAATTAGGAGTTTGGGATTAACAGATACACACTAATGTACATAAAATAGATGACCAACCAGGACCTACTGTATAGCACAGTGAACGATACTCAATATTTTGTAATAACTTATAAGGGAAAATAATCTGAAAAAGAATACATATATGTGTGTGTATAACTGAATCACTTTGCTGTGCATCTGAAACTAACACAACTTTGTAAATCAACTATATACTTCAATAAAAAAATAAATGGTTTCACAAACTATAACTTAACCATGCCCTCTTTTTATAAATCAAAACATTGTATAGATTACTAAATAAAAAGCATCTTATGTAGAGAAAAAAGATCTAGCACAAAGGCAGTACCTGATGAATGTTGGCTTCATCCATTTGTAAACAGTGGAACTTTCTCGCTCCTGGTTCTCCCAATCATGGTGTTCGGTGGATTGTGGAGCTATTCTGTGCCCACTGTTCTAGAACCTTGTGGTGGAGCTCCAATGGGTGACTTCCCACAGGAGGAGGGGGTCTGCAGGCCCTGCTTTCCACAGGGCCTTTAGATAAGGCAGAAGCCTGCCCCAGAGTATCGGTTCCACCCATTACAAGCTCCGGCAGGCAGAGGGGTGTGGACCTCTGGAGGGGTCCAAACCTGCTGCTCCAGGATGTTTGCCAGTCTTCTCTGGAGCATGGGACAGTATTGTACTGGATGATCGTTCGTTCTGATTACACTTCTGCTCCAGGAAGTATGGTGGGGTTTTTTTCTGCAATGTTTGGGAACAAAGCAGCTCTGGGTATTGGTCTCTGCCCATCAGAAATCAGTGTTGTGATATAATTACATTTGCAAAGCAGATGGATCATCATCGAGCACGTGGCTGAAGCTCCTGTTGCAAAGAGAGGCGACAGATCTGAGGTCTGGAAGGGAGGTGGGGTGGGGCTGAAAGCTCCTCTCTGTTCCCAGATAAGAGCCATCTAGTTTGTGTCTCTGAGGTTTTTGCAAGGAGGTTGGCAGGGAGATAAATGGAGAGGCTTAAGGAAGGGAATTCATATTTACGAAGCACCTGCTGTGTGCTGGGTTCTTTCCATACCTAGCTCATCATTTACAATAGACCTGAGAAGTAGGTTCTAATTATCCCCATTTTACAGGTGAGAAAACTGAGGCTCAAGAAAATTAAATTAGGGGCCTATGGAAACTCAGCTGGTGTGGTCCTCGTTAGTGTTGCCCATCAGGTATTTCCAGTTCTCCTCCCAAGAAACATGAACACTTCTTTGGTCTCTGTACCTCCCAATGTGTGATTTCTCTTCCCTGACCTTTGACTATGAGTGGACTTCTTTAGGACAATGAAACGTGAGCAGCAATGAAGTGTATCTCTTCTGTGTGGCAGCTTTAAATGCTAATACATAAGTTGTCATGTGCTCTCCCCACCCCCACCATGGTGAGGGGCAGTGTTCCAGGTAGAGACTGCTCTGGGTCTTGGCAGTGAGGATGCCATGGAGCAGAGCCCCCAGCCAGTGTATGAGAGCCATGAGTCATGAGTGAGAAATAAAACTTTGTTTTCAGCCACTGAAAGTTTTAAGGTTTGTTTGGTGCATAACCTTGTCTGTTTGACCACTTAATAGCCTGGCTTCAAAATTTAAGCTCTTCCCTCTATTCCACATGGCACCAAAGCATGGAGATCTGTGTAGAGAGTTAGGCATTCAGGTGTTTTGCCCATGATTCTTGATTCAGCTGGGTCTGTGAAGGCCATAGGGTGATATGGCCCTCATTTTGTTTCATAAGGATTGTTTCTGTCTCTCTAAAGAGAGTGCAAAGATGGGGTCTCAGCCCCTCTCTCCAGACCCCTCATGGAACGCAGGGCTGCTCACATCATAGATGCTGCTGAAATGCTTCTGGCAGGAGTTACTGGAACAGATTGAAATGGTTAAGAAGACACTGCAATGATGAAATGGGATGAAATGGAATGAATTGGGACACGGGCTTGAAATGGAGGAGCTTGACTTGCAGTGGAATGGGATGACATGGATGTAGATTAGGACAGGATGGATTGAACTGGGATAGAATGGAATGAGTTGGAATTTGAATGGGCTGGAAGGGCTGAGAAGGGAATAGCTTGGCATGGAATTTGGAGAGTGATATGGACTGGATCCGACGGAATGGAATGAATTGGATGGAACAGAATTAGTCATTGGATGAAAGGCATAGAAGGGGATGGACAGAGTTCTTTTTGTCTAGTTTCCTGTCCACACCCCACCCCTAACCCTGGCCGGCAGAGTATTTTTGTTCCTGTAAGTAGTCCACATACTGTTGAGAAAGTGGCATTGTTAAAAGATGAGGGAAATAATTCTGGCTGCTTCAGGGATGGCTTCTGACCTTTAATAGTATCCATGTGTGCGCGTGTACACACACACACACACACACACACACACACACACACACACACACACA